GGAAATAAATTTTAGACTCTAGAATCCACAATTTTTTTCACTAACACTACTACTTTTGGAATATTTCAATTAGGACAATCTAGTTATTTACCAAATATTCCCCATACCCCCCCTTGACAAGCTTCTCGTACCCCCTGGGGATACGTGTACCCCAGATTGGGAACCCCTGTTCTAGGGATTGGGGGTGGTGACCGCTTGCAGTGAGAGTCTCAGCCATATATGTTGGCATTGTGCTGCCGGGAGCAGAGATCCTGGAGCGTCTCCTCCTCACTCCACACCTCCAGGAGGGACAGGATCTCTGCCACAGAACACAATGGTGCACACCTCTTCTGGCCCCTGGCTGGGTCCTGGAAGCCCTGGTTTTGCTCCCTGTGAGGGCCAGGGGTATCTTGGGGGGCTTATGACTGAGCCATGGGTCAAAATTCCTGTGTCAGTCAGAGCCAAATGGTGAGGTGGGCCAGCTTCCTGCCACAAGACTTGTCCAAGGTTCCTGCAGCTTTAAGAGTTCTCATTAGTTTGGATGGAGTGGCCAGTGCACCTGTGTTATTTCCTGGAGGCTTCTTTTTTCAAAAGAACTCCCTCTTCCCTGTCCATGTGCCTTTTTCCAAGCTTTTTCAGAAAAGGCATGCTTCCTCGTAGAAAGAGGTTTGCCACTGTCGGAAAAAAACCTCTGTTCTTTCACCTGTTTGACAAAAGAACGTGATAGCAGTGTGGACACAAGTATTGTTTTTCCAGAATAATGGCCGTTATTCCCGAAAAATGCTGCAGTGTAGACATACCCCCAGAGTTAAGCCAGCAGGAGAGAGAACAGGGGACCAGGCTGTGAATTATCACCCTCTCTTGTGCTGCAACTCCTAGAGAGTAAGTATCCAACTTACAGCTGTCAGAGAATGGGAATTCTGTTGTGTAAATTTCAAAATGTGGTTTTTGTTCAGCTTCATAAGAGAATTTCCATACAAGAAAATTTAGAGGTGAGGGAGGAGGGAAATGAAATATGTAAAGTGTTTTGATTTTGGTGGAATTGTATTCTTCAGTGGAAAGTGATCCCATGAACGTTTTTCTTACACATTCTAATCCAGTTTCTCCTGCCCCATTGTTCCAAGAGAACGCGGAGAAAGAATTGCCATAGCACTAGAGTTAGCTAGCACGTTATGCTGCATGACATTTAAGACTGGTCTTATATCATGTAAGAATTGGCCTTTTACAATAACAGGCTTCTTAATTTGTCATAATTCCAGGAGGTGTCTCTTTAATATCTGGTGTGTTGCCTGAAGTGTAGCCAGTGTATTTCAAGTTTTATCAGTATAGCACACTAGCTTAAGAGGCAACTAAGCAAGCTTTTTAATGCATCTTCCTCTTTTGCATTTACTTTTCTTCCGGGATGGCTGTTCTCCAAGGGGATATCTAAGAGCAGATATAAAGTGAAAGGTATAATCTTTATAGCTCAGGTACATAAGAATGGTCATACTGGGTCAGACCAAAGGTCCATCTAGCTCAGTAGCCTGTCTTTCAACAGTGGCCAGTGCCTTGTGCCCCAGATGGAATGAACAGTACTGGTAATCATCAAGCGATCCATCCACTGTACCCATTGCAGCTTCTGACAAAAAGAGAGTAGGGACACCATTCATATCCATCCTGGCTAATAAGTCTATCAATGGATATCTTCCATGAATGTATCTAGTTCTTTTTTGAACCCTGTTAAAGTCCTGGTCTTCACAACATCCTCTGGCAAGGAGTTCCACAGGTTCACTGTGTATTGTGTGAAGAACTACTTCCTTCTGTTTGTTTTAAAATTTTACCTATTAATTTCATTTGGTGACCCCTAGTTTTTGGATTCTGGGAACAAGTAAATAACTTTTCCCTTTTTCTTTCTCTACACCAGCCATGATTCTATAGACCTCTGACATATCCCTCCCATTAGTATCTTCTTTTCCAAGCTGAACAGTCCCAGTCTTCTTAATCTGTCCTCATTTGGCAGCAGTTCCAGACCCCTCATAATTTTTGTAGCCCGTTTCTGAATTTTTTTCAGAAGGTATCTTTTTTTTGAGATGAGGCAAACACAGCTGGTACCATGGATGTATATAGCGGCAATACAATATTCTCTGTCTTAGTCTGTATATAAGCTGTGTCTAGACTGGCCAGTTTTTCCAGAAAATCAGCCGCTTTTCTGGAACTTGCCAGCTGTCTACACTGGCCGCTTGAATTTCTGGAAAAGCACTGACTTCCTATTGTAAGAAATCAGTGCTTCCTGTGGAAATACTATTCTGCTCCCATTCAGGCAAAAGTCCTTTTTGCACACAACTTTTGCACAAAAGGGCCAGTGTAGGCAGCTCAGATTTGTTTTCCGTAAAAAAGCCCCGATCGTGAAAATGGCAATCGGGGCTTTTTTGCGGAAAAGCGCATCTTGATTGGCACGGAATTGCGACTGGCTAAGGATGTGAAGGATAACAAGAAAGGTTTCTACAGGCATGTTAACAAGAAGAAGGTGATCAGAGAGGGTGTGCGGCCCCTAATGGATGAAGGACGTAACGTAGTGACAGATGATGTGGGGAAAGCTGAAGTACTCAATGCTTTCTTTGCCTCTGTATTCACGGACAAGGTCGGCTCTTAGACTTCTGCGCTAAGTGACGCAAGATGGGATGAAGATGGACAGCCCGTGGTGGGTAAAGAACAGGTTAGGAACTATTTAGAAAAGCTAAACATATACAAATCCATGGGTCGGGACTTAGTGCATCCGAGGGTACTGAGGGAGTTGGCAAATGTCATTGTGGAGCCTTTGGCTATTATCTTTGAAAAGTCGTGGAGATCGGGAGAAATCCCTGATGACTGGAAAAAGGCAAATGTAGTGCCCATCTTCAAAAAAGGGAAGATATGGGTCCGGACTTAGTGCATCCGAGGGTACTGAGAGAGTTGGCAAATGTCATTGTGGAGCCTTTGGCTATTATCTTTGAAAAGTCGTGGAGATCAGGAGAAATCCCGGATGACTGGAAAAAGGCAAATGTAGTGCCCATCGTCAAAAAAGGGAAGAAGGACGATCCAGGGAACTATAGGCTGGTCAGTCTTACCTCGGTTCCTGGAAAAATCATGGAAGGGATCCTTAAGGAATCCATATTGAGGCACTTGGATGAGAGGAAAGTGATTAGGAATAGTCAGCATGGATTCACAAAGGGCAAGTCATGCCTGACCAATCTGATTAGCTTCTATGATGAGGTAACTGGCTCAGTGGACATGGGGAAGTCAGTGCTATATACCTTGACTTTAGCAAGGCTTTTGATACGGTCTCCCACAATATTCTTGCCAGCAAGTTAAGGGATTGTGGATTAGATAAATGGATGGTAAGTGGATAGAAAGATGGCTAGAAGGCCGGGCCCAGCGGGTAGTGATCAATGGCTCGATGTCAGGATG